GAGGGTGGGGGGAAAGGTGGAGATTAAGATGGAGAGATGAGGAGAAAGAAAGAGGGACGGGGAGAAGGGGGACATGGGTTGATGGAGAGACGGCAGCAAGGGAAGGAATGAAGGAGGGAGGTGGAGGAGAGGAGATAGGTTGGGATAATGTTACATGTGTAAAAATGCCGGAGGGTGTGTGTGAGAGTGTGAGTGTGTGTGCGCCCCCGTAGAAACATGTTTAATGGCTTTTGTGATTGGAGGGAAGGTAGTGTGAGGTGTATGTTCTTAGTTTGGTGTTTTATTAACTGGTGGATTCAGCATGTAAAACACACACACACACACACACACACGTGTGTTTCATTTTACATGTCGGGGCAATCTGTTTAATATATTGGGCAATACGTTTAACAGTTACGTCAAAACGGATCATATTTTTACTTTGGGACAATAAGTGTTGTGATTTAATGTCGATTATATTTCATTTTACGAAGATGTCATCACGTCTTTAAGATCTGAAAATGTTGCGCAATTTATATTCGTTCACATAGAAAGAAAAAGCAGATAAATACAGAAATGTTTCCAAGATTTCTTAGAGTACCGTCGGCTTCCTAAAATAATGGCTCAAGTCATTTTTAATTTGTTTTGCCATAAGTGATTTTAAAAAGTAATTTAAAAAAAAATCATATGACATTGATTGTGATATTGAGGTCATAGTGTTAAAACAGGGTTCATCCGGGTCTGAGTTGCGTTTTTTTCTCTCGTCTGACGAGTTTTGAACGAAGGAGTACGAGATCCTGCGAATCCGCAGGTTATAAACTAATTTGTTTGGTTGCTTTAAGAAGCGTGCTTTCAGTTATTGGTGTCAAACCTAAATTCCTGGCAGAAAATGTAAAAATATACATATTATTCTAAATAAGTAAAATACACCATGCCTGCTCTGACCTCTCTTTCTGAAAATTTCTGTGCTGGCATATTACTGTACCCCCACCACCAACCCCGACATGTTCTCTCATTTACAAAAGAAAACGCTTGGCTGGCTGCCTATAAGTCAGTTTATCCGCCTGAGATGACCAACGTCCCTCTTTTTTCTTTTTCTTCATACAGTGTGTGTGAGTGTGTGTGTATGATCTATAGTTCCCTGCCTCTCTCCATAACCCCCTCCCCTCTCTTCCCGTCCCTCCCTCACCCTAACCCTTCTTAATATGATGTAAAAAGCTAATCGCATGCAAATGTCTGTTGTCCCGGTAACCGGGCCTGAAAAATCCCTTTGATGTTTCCCCCGACTCATTCTCTTCACGTTCTCTTTGTTCGCCACAGTCTCGCTGCTTTGTCAACATCCCCCCCTTTTTTTTTTTTTTACCCCGCGCGCACTCTCTCCTCCATCTATTCTGCGGCTCTCTTGGTTCTCAACGTTGGAAGAAAAAAAAAAGTTCGAACTCTACTTTGTGTCTCCCTCTTTCTATAAGCCCCCCCGCCCCTTTTTTTCTTTTTTTTTTAATTCCCCTCCCTGTTTCTCCCCTTGACTGTGCCTCTCTGTCTGTCTGCCCCTTAGCCCTCGCTCATTTCCCATCATTCCCACCTACTGTCTCCTGTCCTTCTCCTCTGTCGCTCCCATTCTCATTCCCTCTGTTATGTCCCTTCCTGTCGCTCCCCCTCCCCAAGCCTTTTTACTTTATCTCCCACTCCTCTCTCGGTGCCCCTCACATGCACAGATGGACTCTGAAGCTGCCCTCCCTCCTTAAGGGAATTTGATCCCTGGAACTATTTGATATGGCTCTGTACTGTAGTTATCTAATCATTCTGCTCTTTGTGCGGCCGCGGCAGCACAGCTGGTTTCCACAGAGGAGACCACGCACTCATTACGGCGAGTTCGAGGGCTTACAAGGTTACAAGGCCCCCCGTGTTAGGCCATACGAGGCGGGAAGGGGGGTGGAAATAAAAAACTCAATTGGTGCACTTTAAATTTAAAGTCCAGTTTTAATTCAGAACAGAGAAGTAAAAAAAAAAAAAGACAACCGTAACGTAGGCGAAACATGCATTTCTAACATTCCACTTTGCTTAAAAAAAAACAACAAAAAAACAATGTAAACATCCGGCAGAGTTCATCATACACCAAATGCGAGGAGGAAAAAAAGTTTTGTTTACAATGACACCGTTCACAAAAGTGAGAAAATGTATGCTGCAGTATAAATGAATGATGGTGTTTATTACATCGCTTCCAATATAATGCAATGTACCAAACAGCTGAAGGCTGCGAAGTGTGCCGACTTCTTCAAGCCAACAAATTAGATATTGATTCAAAAATGGCTCAATAGCCATTTGCAACTTTTCAATACGGATGCAGATATGAAACGTGAAACCAGCCACAAACTGCGGCAGCGGACTGCCTCTCCTGCATCGTGTAAGTCTGTACCTTAAACATGACATTCTCTTTTTTAAATTAACATGTTTTTAATTACACTGTATCTGTTTGAAATAGCTACATTTTGGTAAGCCGTATGCATCTTTCTTTCTGTGTAATTTCCATATCCGAGTGTGTAAATAGCAGTGTAACAAATAGCTATTAATAGGTTTACAGCAAGTGTTGCAGAATCGAGGAGGAAGCGAAAGTTATTTTTATCCCTCCCTATGCTAGTTTTGAGGTCTCTTAAAGGAATGGTTTGACATCTTGGGGATATGTTGTTTTTTCCCCCTTGTGCTACGAAAAGATACCAGTTGCATGTTTTTGTTGAAAAAAAAATAAAAATTAGAGAAGATAGCAACCACAAAAACCAGAAGCAGATATTAGCTCAGCGTCTAGTCAATTCAAATATGAATAGACAAAACTGCACTCTGTGGCTGTTTAGCTTGTTTGTTTCCAATGTTAGCATCAAATCTGCATTAGCCGCTTCGATGTGGTTTGTCCATGCAGACAGCTCTGAACAAGGCAATAAGTAATGTTATTCATAAAAAAAGACAAAACCACATATGAACTGAAAATGTAACTTGAATTGTTACATTCACAAAATTTAGGAAAATTTGAAGACGTTTCCAAGTCGTAAGGTTAAAAAAAAGTGGAGCTGAGCAATGATTTTATAAAAGTACAAACATTGACCTAACAGGAACAAAGCTATACAACGGAGGCTGAGAAATAACAATTCTGTGACTCCATGAAGTTCAACATATTTACGTTCAGGTGTGGTACTTTTAAAGTGAACTACTAAACCACATTTGGCTAACATAAGCTAACTAACGTAGTACTATTCCAACTGCTGGTTGTTTCGCTCATCTAGCACTTTAAATGATAGCATTTTTTTTGTGTGTGTCTTTGCTCCAGAGTCTTCTGTAAGAAACATATAAAACACAAGTTGGTTCTTTGATATGTTCAGATAAATTACATAAAATTCAGTCCAGTCAAAATCATTCTAAATTAGTCAAAAACACTTTCAGTAAGGGAAATGGAATAGCAGGTAGAAATAAAACAGTATCTTGAACAACAATGGCTTCCGTCAAAAGAACATAAAAATGTGCTTGAAATCAGAAAGGTGAATAAAGGTCCAAATAAGGTCATATTTTGAAGTCTAAACGTGATTGAAAGACGGGATTGAGGTCGCTAACACAAGCTAATAAAGCCTGACATTCAGAATGTTTGCTTAGGCTAAATTTGGACAGAACATATGAGATCCAGAAGTTACATTTTCACCAACAACTAACCTGTCCAACAGCACCTACGTCTTTGTGCTAAGTGTTGTTGGACAACTTTATCTCCACATCTCAGATCTGTCTTAAGCACTTCAAGGTCAATTTGTGACTTCGGTAAGCACATATTTCCACTGGAGCTTCACAAAGAAATTCCACTCAGCAATTCTGGAAATTAATATTGCAAAAATAAAAAAAAAACTATATATATATATATATATATATATATATATATATATATATATATATATGAGTTACAAAGAAAAAAAAAAGAGTAATAGTGCTGAGGAATGAACGCTAGGCTTAATTAATTGAGTAATTTGAATGTTTTTCATCTTTCTCTGAGAAGCTGCTCTGACGGAAAGACATGACAGGACTATGAATTTTTTACACGTTTCAGACAGCGAAGGACAAGCTTGTTGCTGTAAGACACACCATTAGAAATTTTTAGCACATTATGTCCTTTCGCTTTGCTAGGTGGTTGGCCTAGCAGCCGTGTTCGTTTATGTATTTCAGACCTTGACAAAACCATGATGTCGCCCTGGTTTATAAAATCAAGGTCTGCGGTGGTGAGAAGCGTGTTTTATTTCTCACACTGGTTGTTGGCGTCGCATCCAGTCCCTTTTGAATGTTTTCACACCCCTTAAACTTGTCCACATTTTGTCACGTTAGCGCTTCAAACCTCAGTGTACTTTATTGGGATTTTATGCGTCAAACTAACATAAATCAGCAAACGTTGAGAAGTTGAAAGGGGAAAAAGAAGACATGGTTTTAAAATGATTTTACCTACAAAACTTTGAGCACTGTGACATGAATGTCTATTCAGGCCCCTTTACTACTTCAAAACAAAATCCAGTACAAGCAATTCCCTCCCGATGTAAAAAGTGAGGGACACATTTGTAAAGAAGACAGTTTACTCATCCCAAACTTTGAACATCTTATGGATTTTCCACTTCAGAACAACGCACTACTTTATGTCAGTTTTATGGATGTGAAATAAAATACTCTTTAGTTGACAAAATGTGGAAAGGTTAAGAGTTCAAAACCTTCTTTCAAGGAACTGAGGGAAAAGTAAAAAGCAAATTTTTTTTACTCATGCAACTCAAGTTTCTCTTTTGAGTTTTTTGGTGCCATTTAGCGTATTTTTTCATCCCCAGTATGTAGAGACAGCAGCGCTGAAACGTGGTTGTCTTTAGTTATCAGTGTTTCCTGCCTCAATGCAAAGACAAACTCACTGCTTCCTTCGACCTCCAAAATTTGCTGTATGGACATGATTCATTCAAACATCAAGAAAGACATGGAGGGGAGGGGAAACCTAACCCAAAATTCATACACAAAGCTGAAGATTTTACACATCTTTCTTCAAACATAATACTGTCATTAAATTTGTTATATTGCTCCTTAAAAAAATGATCAGATGTCGTCCATGTCTACTAGCCTAAAGAATGAAACTCGTAAACGGAGAATAAAGCAAACGTAATGATCCACTTTCCTCCATTTTATGGAGAGTGCAGACAGTTTGTGGAAAAACAAAACTAGTCAATAATGTTTAAAACACAAGTAAACATTGCACTGACACCCATTCATACCTTTGGCAAACAGAATATGGCGTCTAACAACAAAAGCAGTAAAATTCAGTTTCAGTACACTGAAGGAGATTCTTCAGTGCAGGCACCAAGACGTTGATGATAAACAATGCTGCGAAAAAGCATTTGCCCCCTTACAGGTAATCTTTTGTTCTTGCTTCTTACTTAAATGTTTCAGATTATCAAACATGTTTGTACCCATTAATAAAGATAACCCCGCCTAATTACACAAAAAAAGTGTTTAAGAAACAAAAAAAAACAGCCATCCTACCCTTGGAGGCAAAATAGTTTTGATTTTGTCACATTAGATGTTCCAAAACTTTTTTTTGTATCATCCAGAGTTGGACTCGCAGATGTGCTTCATAAATTGTGTTTCTATCAAAGTTTTCCAGAGTGCATTTTGAAGTATTGTATACTTTAGAAGTAGAAAAGGTTGATGGAAACAGCAAAATTTACAGTAGTGTTTTCGATTTTGCAAAAAAAAAACAAAGTTACTTCACTTGCTTGTGTTGGTTTTTGGCTGTCAAAATAAAGGGCAGATGGCAGCACATTTGCCTAAAAAGTTACGATGTAGCAAACTTGTACCTCACTTGACCAATTAGCTGTTTCCGCTGTCGGTGCGTGTTAGAATTTTCTTTCTCTATGTCTCCTTACAGGCGGTAACATCGCCAGTATGACTTGACATGACGGAACAACTACAACTCAATAGCTACGCATTCCTGAAAACCTCTCCATTTTTCTGAGATGTGCGGTCCATGCTAGCTTCCAACCTCTACTGCCTTACTGCTAGTTATGTGTAACCTGAACACCTGACGACATTACGCTGTATATAGCCTGGTTGATTTGTTCCAAGCCAGAAGATGAATGCATAACTAATTTGCATTTTCTTCTTTTTTGCGACATTTAAAAGGTTTCCTCAAAAATGTGTGACACTTGGACAGAAACATAAGGGTTAAATTTATGTGCTACTATTAGCACATAATCTAACGGGACAAACCCCTTTTGGAACAAACTTCCAGAAAACCACAAAACTGCCGAAACACTGAGTTCCTTTAAATGAAGGCTAAAAACATTGGTATTTGTTTGATGATGGTTTCTTTTTTTTTTTTTGACAAAATGTAATATTTATTGCTTGTTTTATAATCGATTATATCTTAACAGCCTTAACTGCCTTGTTGCTGAAATGTGCTCTGAAAAGTAAACTTGACTTGTTTGATCTGAAATATTGAAGTGCGATGCAAAAGAAAAAACTGTAAGGGGGGATGAAAAGTTTACAGCACCATTACTTACACTTCAAGAACGACTAAATACCGTTATTACTTTAGTTTCTTAGTACTGTTCATAAAAAGCCATATAATTTGCTTACACACTCCCAACAGTTTTGAAACTGCAAACCACTTCTCTTCTTCATCATCTGTACGTGTTCAGATGTGAGCTCGCCTCATTTAGTCACTGTACCAGGCTCTAAGCTGGGCAATGTGTGTGTGTGTGTGTATGAGAGGGAGCTGGAGGGGGGGTGGGGGAGAGCATGTGAATGTGAACAGTGCTCCACTGTCTGATAACAATAAGAGTGACTGCATGTGTCGGGGGGACATTGTGTGTGTCTGTGCGAGTGTGCTTGTTACCTCATTTACATAGATCCAATCCCACCTAACCCGAGCCACACACACACACACACACACACACACACACACAAATAAAACACAGGGCAGATAAAAAAAAAAAAGCGTACAGTCTCCATTCAGCGTTATGAGGGTGATAAAGTACATAATACATCCTAAATCTGTAATCCCACGCCACATTTACACCCAGCATATTACTTCCTGTTTAGTATCAGATGCCGGAGCATGTGATGTGTAGAGTCGGCCAGTCAGTGGTTCAGACCAAGTGGTTTGGCCTAGTGGGGAGTTGCGGGGCAGACAATGGCCGCACTGTGCAAGCTTGAAGTGCCGTCGGTGTCGATGACTCTGCCAGCAGCTGAGACTGGCAGACCCAAAATGGCGGAGCGCCGGAGAGCCACCCCCCCCCCTCATCACCCCCCCACCGGCGCTTGTCACGGTTTAAAACAAGGGGGGGGCGAGTTTTTGATCCTGTTTGGATGCGGAGTGGTGCAGCTGCGCCTGATCCCTCCACCCCCCGGCGTCGTTTGCACTCTCGCAGGAGGTTGAAGGGCACGAGAGAAGTTCGGATGGAAGTCGGTGAAGTCCAGTTTTGAGTCGAGGCAGAGATGACGGGAGCCACGAAGAGTCCCGAGTGCAGTTTCTGCTCCTTAAAAAGCAAAAAAGAAAGGACTCTCACTCCAACTATTTCAGTGGGAAGGGGGGAAACTTGCAATTAGGTGAGAATGATATGGACTTGGATCATGAAAAAAAAAAAAAACAATTTTGCAATTGGGGTGTTTCTATTAAATAAGAAATTAAATTAAAATCATGCATAAATAAGTTTTTTCATGCAGTAAGTCATTAAAAATCATGGCAACAACAGATGTAAAAAGTTACATGAGATATTAAAAATTCAGCCATGGTGCTAGCGCTCATCTCTCAGCCGTCAGAGACGACGTCTGCGTCTTATTCAGGGCCTGGAGCAACAAGCTCCTTATACTTGGGAGTGGCTACATACTCGGCACTTTCAGGAATTTGTAGTCAGCGATTTTTACAGAAGAGCTTTGGATTCAACACATTTCATATGAACTGTTCAATGCTATGAGAGCTGTGGTGTCTGAACAAATGGAAAACAAACCATCATCCTCCCACTACTTTCTGTCGTCTTCTTCTTCGTTGTAGAAGACGAGCAGCAACACCCAGCTGGTGATCACATGACTTGTGTGACGCAAAAAAAAGTGTTTCCGTCGCACATTAAGTCGGAAAACCACCTCCTCCATGAGCAAAAACTTTTCAGCAAAAAACATGTTTTCCAAAATTGGTGTGTTAAGCAAATTCAATTTCGTAATTTAAATTTGTGCAATTATATGGTCAATGGAAACACAGCTAATGAAGGCATGGCACAACATTCATAGTGCCTCAAACACAAATACTGTTCTTTTGCATTTATTTAGTGATTTATATCACTAATCTGCGCACCGTACCTATATTTAGTCATATTTTAAACATTTTCTGATATGTATAGATGTTCCTAACAGTGTAGAAGAAAGCAAAAATAACATTTCTGATAACGTCAGCTTTGTATTTTTCTTTACCATCAGTAACTGAAATTTATCATGGCAGCAATAAATCAAAATTCTTATAAGAAAATTTTAGCGGCAAATGATAAACGATACAATAAATGCCCAACGCTGCTCGTAACATCCCCAAAGTGAGCAACATGAGCAACGCAATAAAGAAAAAAGGAGCAACAGAGGGAGAGGAAGAGACCTGCCCATAAAACTCACTCTTGTTCAGATGACAGTCACACAGCTGTGGAGGGAGAATGACTCTGTGGGCAGAGAGAGGGAGAGAGAAAAAAAAAAGAGTCACATTTTAGATTCTCACACCAAAGGCGTCTTCAACCTGTTGTCGAATGTGCGCACATCGATGCCTGTGTGTTTGCCCTTATCCGTTCTGATCGTCTGTCCGTCAATCTGTTCCCGGCACAGTCTGTTTGCCAATCTGTCATATTCTGTTTGCTGGATAAGGAGATCGGGGGGAATCTGTGTGTGTGTGTGTGTGGATGTGTGTGGATGTGTTTAAACAGTAAAAATGCATCTGATTCTGGGTTGGCACACTTGTTTGCTCACAGCTGAAGACGAGTGTCGTGTTTCTGCTTCGCAAACATATGGAAGGTGAATTTATGGTTTGGGGACAAACACCTTTTTATTAAAAAAAACAACAACAACTCAAAAACTGTAGTAATACTCTCTTTAAAAAGTCATAATCAGGGACATTTTCACCTAAACAAACACTCAAATAGTCTTTGATACCATGATGTAACTAGCACTATTTCCATGTTTCCTTTTTCACTGTAAAACATGATGCACTCCTACAAAAACTTCCTACAAACCAAGTGCCACCTAAAAAAAAATTAAATAAATAAAAGAGGCTTATTATTTCTTAAATACATGTTGGGAGTTTTGAGTAATGTCTACAAATAAAACCAGCTCTCATTCACCTCAGTGAGGCCTGCGGTCTATGTGTGTAAACTCCGTGCCCACCTGTGAATAGCTTGTTGATCCGGAGCTTGACCTGGGGTCCCTCCCAGACGCCGGGGATCCCCCCTCCTTCTGGCTGCCCACAGAGGACGAGTCTGAGCAGCTACTGTGGACTGAAGCAGAGGGGTGGGGGGTCCAATCAAAACGGAGCCGCAAAATGTAGAACACGTTCAGCACAAAAACACACGTTTTCCATGGAGAAAACCCCCTCTCAATGAATCATTTCATACAGAAGGGGGTGGGGGGTGTCATTATGCTTATTATTTTTATTTATTAGTAAGCATAGGGAAAGACAACAGGATAGAAAGGATTTTCTTTTTCCCCCCTTCATCTGTACTGGTGAATTTCTAACACCAGTGTCTGTCCCTGAGGACATTTCATGGCCTGAAATCTGCTCAACAAGACACCTGGTGGGCAGAACGCGCATTACACTGAGGTGTAATTGGGGAATCACTTTCAGACAGTTCTCTTCAGAGACGTGGATGGATCTTTAAAAAAAACAACAAAAAACAGAAGACTCATAACAGCTAAACTCTGCGGCAGCAGTTTGCAGAGCATGCTAGCCTTCTTTTCCCCCCTCGACGCTCATGAATGCACTCCCTAACTCCCTGTATTTAAGAGACAGATTTACGAGTGTGCTCTAGCTGTTGTGAATATGTCCCTATCTATTTATATCACGTCTCTCGTCTCTGTTCCTTTCAGAAATCGTTGGTTACTTTGAATTTGCTCAGCTGCCAAAGGCCAACGATGTGTTTTTCTGCAAGATCGACAAAGATGCAATCGAATCCCCGCAAAAAAAAAAAAAAAAAAGCTACTCTGAAAGTAGATAAGTCAGATAGTTTAGTGTGCATATTACAATGTTTCATTTTTTGAATGCTGCATAACTAAAAGGAACAGCGTGTCCCTCGGAGAAGACTTTAGTTTCGAGACCTCCGAAGAGGTGCGCTGACTAAACAGATAGAACTGCAAATGAAGGAGGGGGGGAAGACGTCTTCTCGGTGTATCGCCCACAGTGATTTCATCAACCATATTAACTTTTACAGGAGGATAATACGTTTTCTGTTAAGAGATTGATCTGCTGCTCCGAGCGGCTCAAAAACAAAGAAATTCAATTAATGTGTCCGAAAAGCTCGTTTTTTTCAATTACGGCGGGATGTTACGGCCGACTATTACAGGCACAATCAAACAAGAGGTGCAGGCGAAACATTACGCAATGTATGCTCCATTGCTCTCTCCTTGTGAAAGTGCATTCCAGGCAGAAACTCTTGAACTCCATTAGTTACTTGCAATGGTGTGCGTGTCACTTGCACTTTTTCCACATATTGGGGTCGTGTTAAAACCCCAATACAATTCCAATAAATTAAGTGTAATTTATTGGGAGTTTATGTGACAGAAATTTGAGAAGAAGAGGAATTTGTATTAAGCTCCAGGAGTCTTTGGGGTTGGACTATAACTGGCTGAAGTCTTGATTATACTTTAAGAGTGTGCATTCACACCTGACCTATTTAGTCCGCTTTAATCAAACCAGACTAGGAAGTCTGGTTTGTTTGAGTAAGTGTGAATACATAATCAAACTCTGATGTGGACCAATAAAAACCTAGGTCTTGGTTCGGTTGAAGTGAACTCTGGCGCGGTTTGAATGCATATGTGAACGCCAAGCGGACCGGAGACCGCTCCAAAAGCAGGAAGAGGACTATAGCGCAGGGTATTCTGGGTAAATATAACCCAAACAAACACGAGAGTCTAGTGCCAGCATGATCTTGTACCAAGGAAAAAAGAGAAATCCTACAATCGCTAAAATCGCCACTCCATTTTTGTGAAGAAGGATTTCAGTGTCGTTTCCTTCAGTGGTTCTTGGTTCAGTGACACCACAGACGAGGGGAGGAACTTTTTTTTTTCGACAGAGTGCAGTGTGAAAGCGAACTGCAGCAATTATGGACTCCAGTCGGGCAGAGTCTACCAGACTATCAGGTGTGAAAACACCCTTAACATAAACCAGTGCATGGTAGCTTTGCTTTTATGTTTAGGCTCATTGACCAGCTGGAAGGAGAAACTCTGCCGCAGTAAAAGGATTTGAATACAAAGGAAATTTGGAACAAATTATTCATGAAAAATGCAGGTAGAAAAAATTTCTTCATAGAGCATTTCTAAACTATTCGATAGGCCGTCCTGAAAGGAAAGGAAGCTGAAATACCGAGGCGCTAATGCTACCGGCTGGTGTTGGCAAGGCAGCCAATCAAAGAAAGCCATTCGTTTTCCTTTGTGCTGATTGGACTGTACCCCCAAAAGCAGAGATAAGGAAGACAGTAGAGCGGTAGGGTGAAGATGGTTTTCACCGTACATCTTTATGCACTTTGAGGTATATTTAGTGTTTGAACTAATAAAAAAGTGAGTTTTCAATGTTTCATGACATCATTTCCCCTTCTGTTCACCATAACTTGTCACTTCATGTTGATCACATAATATCCCAACAAAATAAATTGAAGTTTGTGGTTTGAAGGTGAAAAGGTGTTGGTGGTGTAGACACTGTGCTCCTACCTCTGTCGCTAAGACTGCAGATGGAGTCCAGCTCTGATCCCGGAGTTCCTGTAGCGTCCAGCAGAAGCTTACTGGAAACTCCCATGCACAGCGACTCCTTCAGACACAGCTCTGAGAGAGAGTCAAAAATATTCAGAAAAATCACTTCAGTGAGCATTTCCAGGAATCATTTCTCCCCTACGAATAGCTACGCATTGTCATCCAAATCACTGTTAATAATCTCAGGAACATCCCATGTTCTGGCTTCACTGCTTGCATTTGTTTGTTTAGAACAATTCATTGTTTCTGGGGAACATTACCATCTGAACAGAATTAATCCCTTCTTATAAGGACCTTCTGAGCACCATATTGCAGGGAGATACTGAAATCTAAGCCAAGAGCAGGAAGCGATGCTTGAACACATGATATGGAGCAGCTCGACGTGTTTAGAAAGCTGAGCATAAACAAAGGGGGAAAAAATGTCAAACTGAAACCATTGTTTTGGTTTCCATATGTTTTCTATTTCTAGGAAATGCTAGTAATACTGTTCCACTTTTTGAAACAAAGAACATATTTGCATCTTAAAGTTTTTTGTTTTTTTTTAACTGTTGGACTCCCTTGAAAAATACTCTAATACCAACTCTCCAACAGTAGGTGGCAACAGCAAATATAATGGAAGAAGATCCTGAACTTTTCTAGTTTGACTTTTTTTTTTTTTTTTTTTTTTTACATTTTCTAACTGTTTCCTTTCAGTCAGTGACTCTATTTAGATTCACCACATCCAAAATTCAGGGTTCTGTCAAGTATGGCGTGTCATCCTAGTTTTACATCCACCACTGTATTTCACCTTCAGTGTTGCCTTTTTTTTTTTTTTTGCTGTAGTCCCAACTATTTTATTCTTCAAATGAAAATACTTTTTAAGATTTTGTACTTTTGCAATAATGCTAAAGAAGCTCAAAAAGCAAGACAATAGGCCTTGATCTGAAGAAAAATGTTGTGTTTTTGAAGTGTTACTTCAAGCTGTTAGCAACATTCTATTTTTTTGAAGTAGAAACTTAGGCCATAGGCCTACCTTAGTATAGGCCAATCATAGCATTTTGAAAGTTGATGTGATGTGAAAATACTAAAATATTAAGACATTTATTCCCGTATTTTAACACAAACAAACAAGTCCAACAAAGGTTTGGACTTGTTTGTTTGACTTCACTACTTTCAGTGTATGAAAGACTTGTAACAATGGGATTTGGTGATTGATGCGTTTGGCACTGAAGTTTATAGTGTACCTGTATTGTTTATGGCGTGTGTCCACAGCAGATGGGCTATGTCATGAGCCCAGGACTCCCTTCCTGCTCTATTCTGGGCCTGAAGGGTGATACAGTCTCTGGTCCTGGGTGCCTGTCGGACCCAGACTTCAAACTTCACTCCCTCATCACCGACATTCTGAGTTAGACCCATTTCACTCATCTGTCGGAAGAAGAAGAAGAAGAAGAAGAAATCGTGTTTGAATTATTGATCCAAACTTTGCCATTTAAAGAAAATAGCCTCTAGCTTCTGACCTTGATGCTGTGCTTGTAGTTGTAGACGGTGCGACCTGGACTCGGGCTCTTCTGCTTGGTGAAGATGATGGTGTGCTGGTAGAGGAAGACATTCCTGACACCCGCCCGCTTCCTCCGAGGTCCCCCGCACACGGTGAGCTCACCCTGCCGCACCAGGTCACCGCGTTCTGCCACTGAGATCTGAAAACAGAAAAACACATTAGCCTCGGGGCTTATATAAATATATTTTTAAAGAAATTTTAACTATAAATAAGGGTTTGTCTCTAGAGGGATGGTATAACCTCTGTTCACCTGAATTGCTATCAAAGACATTTGGGTCTAAAATTCCAATGGGACAAATTTTGAAAACCTCCGAAGACGCATCTTAGCCACCTCTGTTGCCTCCTTTAGGTGATGTGGACTCGTCTGAGCTTGCTTCGGATGACAAATTTTCTCACTGACCTCCAGTCCTTTTAATTTCTTGCATGCAAAACCTCATTCCTTTGGTTATAATCAATCCATCAAGGCCAAAGGTGAGAGTCACAATATAGGCACTTGAAACTAAAGTCAAATTTCTTGTTTGTGCACACAATCTAGGCCAATAAAGCTGATTCTGATTCTGTCAAAAGTCTTTTTATTCTCCTGCCAAACCAGGCCCCTTGTACCCAGTGCCGCTTCAGCTACCAGTTTCCTAGTTTGGTGTTCAAAAAAAAAAAAAGAAAAAAAAAGAAAAAACATTTCATCTGTAAAGATTGATAGGCCTTGTTCACAGTCCAATAAAGAAAAAGACAAAGCAGTATTATTATTATTCCTCCGCTTTCTATAGAGGCAAATGCTGCCTTCGCGCAAGCACTTTTTCTTATCTGTTGGATCTTTGCTCTAATTGGCCAAATGAGTCATGTCTTTTCGCGAGACATGTGACTTCATTGTTCGCGTCAATTACAGGGGCTGAGACTTTTTTTTTTCGTGCTGTTAAGACTCATAACAAAAGGCAGACAGACACTCGTAAAAGTCAGAAATTGCGTAGCGCTCCTACGGAAGGAGATACCAGGCGCAAACAAACGGCGAAGAGCGACTGGAACGTTTCGTCCGCCGAAGCGGATTAAAGAGTTATGGCGATTTACTGACATGCAGCTTTATTTTTACAACTGTGGATAGGTGAGGTGTGTGTTGGTGGGAGGGGGGGGGGGTCATCATGTAAGTGAGGCTTCACATACATCATGAGCACCCACACACACGCCCACTGAAAAACACCTGCACTTGTAATCACTTTTTACCTGGAGAGCTGTCAATGTGAAGAGGCTCCAGTGGAAGTGTTTGTGCACTCCTAATCTCTCCCCTCATATATAAATTGTGTTTGCTTGTGTGTGTGTGTGTGTGTGTGTGTGTGTGTGTGTGTGTGTGTGTGTGTGTGGGAGTCCAACGCTTGTCGTGACTGCCTCTGAACGATGCCGCTGCGTTGGACTAACAATGTGAAGGTCAAGAGGAGATGTTTTTGTCAAAGAATTTCTTCTAAAGTCTAAATATATTCAGAAAAATCCACAATAACTGCACAATCTGCGAACATTTCCACGGTCTGAACAGGAAAGCAATATCTTTCTTCTCGTTTTATTTTTTTTTATTTTTCCCTCTGCTTGTAAGTGTCAAAAGGTGGGCGAGTATTTTCTGTAACATAAGATAAACAAAGGTTTCAAAAGTCTATAGAATATTTATCTGACTATTTCCATGAGGAAAACCTCAAGTCATTTTAAACAGCAGCTATCAGATCTAGAAAGGATCTAAACTTTTGTTTCAGTAGTTTGTTTGCTACTGCCTTGGAAAAAGTACTGAATATTTACAGGTTATTTATTATGTTACAACCACAAATTTCAATGTGTTTTTTCCTGGGATTTTATGTGACTATAGACAGAACACATTACAGTGAACCCTCCATCTATTATGATCCGATACCAAGTGCATATAGGGGAAGTATGACCGATATCGATACAGATAGTTTTTAGTTAAGTTTGATATGTCAATAAACTTCAGAGCTTTTGTTTGTTTTTGTAGTTTTTCTTTTGAATTATTTTGTCAAAAACTTGGGAGAATCTGGACAAAGTTTATACGTGTCTACAAAATACTATAACATGATAAACTGGAACGACAGAAACACAAAGAAATTCTTTGCATTTTTTCCCTGAAAAACAAAAAATACATATAATTTGAGAGCAAAACAAAAAATCTTTTCTGAGGTGAAGTTGAGTTGAAATTACTAGATGGAATCACACTAGTGTCGATCGATTGATACTGATATCGACTTGATATTGATAATGTTGTTTTTGGATCGATCCGTCCACCCGTATGGAACAGTATTTGCAGATTTTTCTGTGAATCCAAATTATTTTCGGAAAATTAGTTTGTTCCCAGATTTGTTTGCAGAGTATATCTAAAATATTTGAAAGAAAATGTAGCTTGGGAAGCTGAAATATTAGCTGGAACGCTACTTGACACTCTATTGGCTGACATTTGCAAAGCAGCCAATCCAGGAGCGCCTCTAACTGTCCTTGGGTGCTGATTGGCTGTACACCCAAGAACAGAAATAAGGAACATGCAATATTTAATAATGCATATTAAGTATTGTTAATGTGTTTGAAGTTTTAAAATGTGTGTTTTTATAGGCAGTCTCAAATATTTACGGATTTCAAGTTTTTCTTTGTAAAAATGGTGAACTAAATTTCGGTTTCCTTCCAAATGTCCAGTTATGTGTTACTTTGTGTCACATAAAAATGTTCACAGAATATGATGCAGTTCTTAGTTGTAACGTGATACTATTTCGAAGTTAGGGTATGAATGCTTATTTTTAAAACAATATTTAAACATTGTGAACGTAATGACTACTTGAATCTCTTTTAATTGCTGAATAAAAACGGATAAAAACTGAAGTGAAAAGATTCCCTTCCCTTCCCCTCAGCCTGACCTCATCAAAATTATTTAGGTTTTTCCCATCTAAGAAAAGAAAGTGGGACTTGTCAGTTGCAGACTGTGAAAAAATGTGGGACAGGCACTCTCACCGGACAGCCGACGATGAGGTCACTGGCCCTGAGGTCCTCGCCGTGCCGCTGGGCGTGTCTCAGGACGGAGAGGGCGGAGTCTGAGGCCAGATTTAAACCCCCCAGCTCCTCCAGGGCCTCGCAGTACTGCTCCAGCCTCTGAATGGGAGCCTGCAGGCAGTAAGGGAAAGACAGAGGGGACAGGGGGGACGCCTGGGGGAGTTTGGACTTTGGGTGGGGGTGAGGGGAAGACAAGAGCAGAAATGTAGAAACAGAATAAATGCCACCTCTGTCTCTGCTTTGGGTTCACATCAGAAAAAACTGTCTAGTGTGTGAGTGTCACTCTCTAACACCAATTCAAAAAACTGCTGCGGATCAGACGTCTCTCCGTGGCAACCGAATCTGCTGACACAGTGAAATGTCTGAAGCTGCCCAACAGAAACTCCTCAGGGACTTTTCAAGGAACGATTTAAAGAGTTTGAGTTGTAGCCTAAAACTTTCCCAGAGGTCAGTCTGATTGGCAAACACTCAAAAATGCAATTCATGAAGGTCCAATCATACAAATTGTAGAACTTAAAGGGGTAGCTTACTATTTCTGAAGCTAGTTTCTGCTGGAAGGTAAGAAGCAGTTCATGTTTTCTCTGTATTGGGTAACATAATGGAGTCTTCATTTAGTAAAAGTAGCTGGGTCTGGAGGATAATGCTGCCAGCCTCTACGGCAGTGGTGTCCAAACTTTTTACTACTATGCTAAATGCAGAAACAGCAGGAGTTACATCCTTTTAGAACCTGGAAGCCCCTTAATTTTCTCTGGAGTATTAAACTAAAAGCTACTCAGCTAATAATCTGTAGTCAACTCTAAGCTCATGAAACATCATGGCAGCTTATGGTAACACTATTTTATAAACCTATAGAAATTAAACTATTTTGAAGTAGACATGCTAACTCTCAGCTAAACTTAGGGTTGAGTTAGTTTGCACTTCATCAATGGTGTTTCACTTTTGTTTTTGTTTTTTTCATTATTTTATTATTTTTTTAAATTACTTTATGATTTGGTTAATTGAAATAAATCAATATGTTCAATGTGGATATACATAGACATCAGTGTAAATATCTGCTCAGTACAAAATGTGTGGTGATATAAAGTTTATTTTTAAAGAGTATTTGAATAAGTTGTGACAAAATGTTTGAAACAGGGGAAATCAAATTTGCTCTGATTAGCTAAAGTTAGCTTGATGCTCTGGTAAGGTGTCCTTCCTATTTCTCCAAACCTAAAATGAAAGACATTAGGAAGTGTTTATCTTTTAAGTTTCTAACATCAAGCCTCCTACTAGATATAAACTGATAGTATAATAATGTAATAATGGGGCTGTATGGACATCCAACACTGCGACAGACTGGCGACCTGTCCAGGATGTACCCCGCCTCTCGCCCGGAACGTTAGCTGGAGATAGGCACCAGCACCCCTCCCGACCCCACTGAGGGACAAGGGTGTTCAGAAAATGGATGGATGGACATCCAACAACTATTCGTGTTGCCATAACAAATTCAACCGTAAGTTGAAAAAAGCATAACTTTTTTTTCTGGATGCTATATTATGTTTAGAGTGTAGAATATTAAATTGACAAAACAAAAAAACAACAAAAAAAAGATTTTTGGATTTTTCAGTTTTCAGCTAAAGCTATTCAAAATGAACTAGTCTTAACTGGAGTTTAATTTGGAAATCCCTTTTCATTCTGAACCTCCCACAACAACAACAACAACAACAAAAAACACGAACAAGTTGAAAGCCTTGCTGCTCCTGTTTTCACTCCCATTAAATGATCACCATCAGCCAGCATGCCGTTCCACAGCCATTACCATAACCATAAACCTGCCCATTCCCATTATCTACCATGTGTTCAAGCTGCTGTAACAGAGGCAGGTTGTGCCATCACTAGCTCACGCTGCCACCTGCTGGTGGTCGGCCGCACTTTCCAGGACTCCCTTCGAGATCTCCGGCGCTTTGATCTCTTCGTGTAAAGTCTTGGTGGTAATCTCATCATGCTGTTGGTGGATTAGTTTTAGCTAATTGTAGCTTGGATGCTCAAATTACTTTCTCTATAATCTGCCCTTAATTGGCTTTTCTGGTCTTATATTGAACGTATAATTAGCATCACTGTATACAGCTTAATTGCTGCCACTGACAAATAAAGCTACTTTGATTGGTTTGTGCTTGAGCACAAAAAATACTTGGACTGATATTCTTGTTTTTTTTTTTTTTTTTTGGGGGGGGGGGTTTTTTGAAAAAATTTTTTTTTTTTTTTTTGGCCCAAAGTGTTTCCTTTTTTTTTTG